AGAGGTTTTATGGATAAGGCGATCCTGTTTAATGGATGCTTGGAAGGAGATAACAATAGCTACCACAGAGTGGTCCGAGTTACCAAGAGGGCAGTATTGCGAAGCTCATCAAGAGCGAAGCGAAGAAGTAACAAATAGATTCAATGGAGAATCCTGTTACTCGTTTTGGCTAAGGAAACAAGTGGGGAAAGTCCACGATCTGAGTGAGAGATTGGGTAATGAAAAAAATTAATGCCTGTATACCCGCAACCTTTGCAATGTTTCAGCTACGTGTCGTGGTGAACATCAAAGTCACCGAAGGCAAAGACGTTCACAGATTTATGGAGAGAAATTGCTTTTTATATACTGTCATCTGTTGTGTCTGATATACTGCAGTCCTGAGAAGAAGGGGGGCAATAAAGGATAAAAGATAGCTGACAGTGTTTAGAAGCGAAAGATGAAAGCACATGAAAGTGTAGTCAACAGCCTCGAGAAACAATTCCCTGGCCATCGGTAGATTATCCCGGATGTAAGCACCAAGGCCATGCACGTGAATACTGGGATCTTTTCGGCAAAGGGGAAGATACTCTGGAAGCAAGAATTCATTGGTAGCAATGGAAGAATTCAAGTTGGTTTCACAAAAATATCTTGCGGCCGTTCCAAGAGAAAAGATTCTACAAACAAAAACAAAAAAAATTAACAAATAAAATAAAATTCAAAGAATTATAGTGTTATGGAGTGGTTTCCCAGTGGAGGCTTGTATTTGTACTAAGTCGGTCCTAAAATAGGTTCGACGTACAAAACGTTAGGAACTTGATATAATAAGTAATGACGCAGAGAAATCTAGTTGTGGTCGCTTATAATTTAGTATCCGACTAACGGTCGTCCGGCATCGACTGACTGACCGACCCACTGAGCGACTCCCTACTCTTACTACTCCTATTTATTATAGGTGGGAGAATCCATTAACTATAGAATAGGTGTGTTCCACTATAATATATAGAGACATTTAAATATTTACAACAAGATGGCACAAGGCAAGGTAATTTACATATGGGCTCTACAAATAATTCCTTGAATTCGTTGAACTACAAACGAACTTATTATCAATGGATTTTGGAGAAAAATTATGGCTGCTCTCGGCTTTTCTGGGCCAAGCATTCTAACTTGACATGGGATCAGTGAGCTATGGGTGGGTGGTGTTGTGAAGAGGCCGGAATCGTTCAGTAGCACTAGGGGGTTCCACCTCTCGTTTTCTTCTTTGTCCTTTTTTTTACTTACCTTCATTTTCCAGTCACCAAAAATAGCGAGTCATCCATGAGCGATTGCAAAAATTACAATTAATATCGTTATATATCTCTATACATATTTATGTATTCAAACTCATAAATGCACCCACACCATATATATATATATATATATATATATATATATATATATATATATATATATATATATTATTTATTTTAGGATGTTACATAAAAACATGTCAGAAAATGCTACACAATTGCAGTCATGTTTGCCGGATGTAGTTTATAGTCATACCCATACTTTAAATGCGAATCAACGCATCTCATCGTCTGATGAGATGCGTTGATTCGTATCGAAGCACAACTGCAATTGTGTAGCGTTTTCTGACATGTTTCTTATGTAATATCCTAAAATAAAGAATATTGCTCTACTTTGTATTGAGCCCTCTTTTAAATTAAATGTTACGAACGTTGGAATTGTACTCTATTCGTTCTCATCTTACCTATATATATATATATATATATATATGTGTGTGTGTGTGTGTGTGTGTGTGTGTGTGTGTGTGTGTGTGTGTGTGTGTGTGTATGTATGTATGTATATATATTCTATGAAAGGCAGGCTCGTCGTAACTGGAGTTTTACACTGACGCGATCTTCAAACGAATTGAAAAGCGTCATATCGTCTGTAAATCGCGTGAGTGTGAAACTCGATTTACGACTTGAAAATCCATTCAAAGGATTTAACGTTGATATGCGGTTTCCGCTCGGTCAAGTCAATCGGGGCTTCGAGCAATTTACTGAATCGGTAAGTTTGCTTTTTGGCCTTTTCTTCTCTTTCTTTTTTTCAATATTTTCGTTTTTGTTCAAGGCATTATCTTTAGAGTTTTAGTTTATATATATATATATTTCGCCCTGTTCAAATGTTTCTACAGTGTAACCCGGATATAAGAGAGTTGTCGGGACCGGAGAATAAGTCTCTTATATCCGGGTTTCTCCTATATCCGGGTTTGGTCTATTATACATACATTAACGCAGGCTCTAATTTGGGACCAGAGAAAATCTCTCTTATATCCGGGTTTCTCTTATATCCGGGTTACACTGTAGTTCTTTTTTTCCCAATTTTTTTCCTAGGATACCAATTTGTTTTGACAGACTTACAAGTTTTGCTATCCGATATATATATATATATATATATATATATATATATATATATATATATATATATATATATATATTATTATTATTATTATTAAACTATTAGTAATACTCAGTTGGAAAAAAACTCGGATAGCAAAACTTGTAAGTCTATCAAAACAAATTGGTATCCTAGGAAAAAATTGGGAAAAAAAAAGAACTAGAACATCCCAACAGGGCGAAATAAATCGTCTAGTCCCTTGAGTTTTTAGTGCAAATAAAACTAAAAATTTAGAGTGCTCAATACGCAGGGATAAATGAAATAACTCGTAAAGAGGCAGGAAACTAAACGGATCTTCAGGGTAAGCCGGCTTACTTTACACTTTATTTCCGGTGGCTACATGTATTTGAGTAGCTGATTCATTTTTTTAAGCGGTAAACCATCCTGCACACTCACGAAAACGTTTTTATTTAAAAAAAAAAAAAAAACAAATGACCGCCCCCGTCAGGATTTGAACGGGAATCCCCTTTATCAAGAAAAAACCGCCGTTTAATCCGATTCGCTACGAAAAGCTTCTCAATCAAGGGTGATTCTAGTTTCCTTTAAAGCAACTGTGTCCAGGGTATGACGGCAGCAATGCTTTTGATCTGCAAATTGATAAGAGTGGAACTACCTCTTAATTGCCGTTGTTCCCAGCTCCAATATGACCCATAGTAGTAGCACCTGTTAGGATCCCAGCTATGGAAAAAAAAAGAAATACATATTTATAGTAAAATGACCACCAGTACATTTTATCTATACTTGAAGCCATAAAACTGTGTTCAAATTATTAAGTTTTCGACATTAAATGACCCATAGAGGTGTTGATATACCGCTAAACAAAGTCAACCAACCAACATTTACTTGCATTATTTACATTATTCGGACTGTTATTCTCATATTTATTCCCATATTCACAACGTTTCGGCGGTTGTACACTCCGGCCTTTATGTCTATGTCTCTCTATATATCTGTCTATATCTCTGAGATGAGATATTATGATTAATTACATTATTTATATTATTCGGACTGTTATCCTCATCTTCATTGCCATATTCAAAAGGATACATGGCCCACTAGATAAAGACGTTGGTTAGATCCAGTGATTAGACCCAAAGAGTTGTGAGTTTAATACCAGGCCACACAGGGTTGAGTTAAAGAGGCATAGCACGTGAAACTAGAACAGTCTACTTCGGTGGACGAAATTCCAATCACTTGAAGAAGGCCGGAGCGTACAACGGCCGAAAGGTTGTGAATACGGAAATGAAGATGAGGATGATAGTCCGAATAATATAAATAATGCAATTAATCATGATACCTCATCTCAGAGATACAGAGAGACAACATTTACTTGTTCAATTTTTGTAGAAAGTCATAACTGGTCAGTTTTGTATCCGTAGCATAAACAATTTTTTTTTTAAGAATTAATACTCCCTGGACCTATATCTTCCTGGAAATTCCATATGGATTACCATATTGTATCATTACTATACACACACACACACACACACACACACACACACATACATACACACACACATATATATATATATATATATATATATATATAACGTGAACATAAAGTCAACATTGGGCGACAGTCTGTTTCATGCTATATGCAATCGTCAGCCTGACGATTGCATATAACATATGTTCACTTTTTTACTACTTATTAACGCTCTATCTCTGATATTGAGCACTTTATCCCATGAATATAGCATACCTTAAGACTATATTTCTTCATATATATATATATATATATATATATATATATATATATGTGTGTGTGTGTGTGTGTGTGTGTGTATGTATGTATGTATATTATGCTTCCCTCCGTTCTTTCATTTCCTCAAACATGTTGCCTTGGCTGACACAGAAAAACATAATTTGGGGAGGGGGGAACCACTCTCCTGTAAGTATCATACCACTCGTTGTTACACTAACTTGTCAACCTTGACAGTGGTCACGCACAGATATAAGAAATTCTATTTTCTGTTCATTCCCATGGATAACTACCATGCGTCTTCATGTATTATTTATTGTATGTAAGCACACGACTTTCTTGCATATATTCACACGCATGCACACGCGTGATAAATTGAATGCGAAATGAATTTAAATATAACATTTGTTATTTAACAAATATGACATTTTTTTCCTCACATTTGTACCTCTTTTTACCTTTCATATTTGTTGGTCACCTTTTAAACTTGTTTCAACTCGGCATAAAACAGGATTTTAATATTACATTTCACAATGGTCCTCTATCTGATAAGTCAGCAAGAAAACGTGACAATATTTGCATTTTTTTTTTTTTTTGTCTTCATTACCTTATGCAAGTCTACGTTGCTTTATCTGAAAGCATAAATTTGGAATTGTTTAATGAAATTCATTTTCTTCTTCTCCTTCTTTTTCCTCTTTTTCTTCTTTCCCCTCTCCTTCTTTTCTTAATCCTCATCTTTCTTCTTTAAGACCAATTCTTATTTATCCTTTCCTGCTTCCTCTTCTTTTATTATCTCTTCCTATCCCTCTTTTAATAATAATGTTTTTCCACCTATCATCTTTTTCACAACACCCAAGAGTTGACAGGTCGTAAAATGAAGCGACTCAATATCCACTTTATTTCTTTTGCTTGTTCTCCTCCCACTCACCTCTTCTTTTTCTTCTTTCTTTATTTCTTTTGCTTGTTCTCCTCCCACTCACCTCTTCTTTTTCTTCTTTCTTTATTTCTTTTGCTTGTTCTCCTCCCACTCACCTCTTCTTTTTCTTCTTTCTTTATTTCTTTTGCTTGTTCTCCTCCCACTCACCTCTTCTTTTTCTTCTTTCTCTATTTCTTTTGCTTGTTCTCCTCCCTCACCTCTTCTTTTTTCTTCTTTCTTTATTTCTTTTGCTTGTTCTCCTCCTCTCACCTCTTCTTTTCTTCTTTCTTTTATTTCTTTTGCTTGTTCTCCTCCCTCCCACCTCTTCTTTTTTCTTCTTTCTTTATTTCTTTTTGCTTGTTCTCCTCCCACTCACCTCTTCTTTTTCTTCTTTCTCTATTTCTTTTGCTTGTTCTCCTCCCACTCACCTCTTATTTTTCTTCTTTCTCTATTTCTTTTACTTATCATTATCTTTACTCTTTTGTTCCTTCTCACTTTTACGTTCCCTTTCTTCTTTCTCTATTTATCTACTTTTTTCTTTTCTTTTTTTTTTGTACTTCTCTCTTTTTATTAATTGCTTCTTCTTTTCGCTTTCTTTTTTCTCCTCTCTTTTCATTCACTTTTTTCTTGTCTTCTTTTAAATTATTCTCGCCTTTTTAACCTTTTTAACCTTTTTAACCTTTCCTTTTTCTTTTCTCTTGATTTCTTCTTACTCTCTTTCTTCTTCTTTCTACTTTCTTCTTTTGCTCAACTCTTCATGTTCTCTTTTTATTTCGCCTCCTCAAACATTTCTTCTTCTTCTTCTTCTTCTTCTTCTTCTTCTTCTTCTTCTTCTTCTTCTTCTTCTTCTTCTCCACGTCCTTTCTTTCTTTACGACTGTCATAGACATTTTAAACACGAGACGGACACTAATATGCCGCTTCTAAACAACGATGGATGTCATCGGTTTAGGATGTAATTTCAACATTTCTAAAGCAGAATTGAAATACATTTCCCGCTAAGCCTGTCTATACTTGTGCTCAATGCGCCAACAAATACGCGCGACTCTGATATGTATCTATCAAAAGCTACCTCGACATATTCAAAGGTGTTTGCAAAATAGATATGTATTCAATATATTCACCCCCACTAAACATCACATAAGCATATACATATAGCGAATATATATATATATATATATATATATATATATATATATATATCCCTGACCAAAATGCATATACGATATTCTAGACAAAGGTTAGAACATAAATCGAATTGTGAAATGGCTTCCAAACAAAAAAGAAAAATACATTAAAAAATGAGGTCCTCTGTTTCATGGGGAAGTGATTTCGAGAGATAAGTGAAATATTCTTACGTTTTTTTAATTTTTGTTTTGATACCGGCCACTAAACTCATTTGGGTAACTCTTAGATTGACACGTCTTAAATTAAAGTTGTTGTCAAAGATTAAATTCGATTCCCACGATGACAATTGAGTTTTAGGCAGAAATCCATCGAGTAGAAAATACAAGCATAATAACTTCATCCACATGCAAAAAAGACTACAAATAATGGAAGCACTAATAATAAAAAAGGAAAATTCAACACTCATATTTTCTGTATTATAAGTTTTACATGTCTTTTTCGGATTTACAGCATAAATATGATTAATGATTCTTCGTAAAGTGAATTCATCCTGCTTATAATTATTGTGCATTAAAATATGTTGATATTTTGTTGTTTACTATTTTTATTACTGCTACCATGTATTTTTTGTAAGAATAATTTTATTTGTTTATCAATTATGTAGTTAGGTAAATAATTGTTTACTAATTTTTGTTTAATATGTTTTAGCTCCACTGAGAAATATTCTTTGAAAAGAGGGAGTTTGGTGTCCTCTATTGAGAAAGTTTTTTTTTATCACCGCCATTTTATATCCTTCCGGGTACTAATTATCATAGTTTAGAAGACAAGAGTTCGTACTGGTCGTTTTTTTTTTATACGGGTAGGAGGTAAATACTTTGGATTTTAGTTCTATATTGTCGTCAAGGTCTGAGATTTTCTTATTAACCATGAATTAATATAAACTAAAAATGTATAAAATAATAAAGCGTGCTTGAAGTGTTTTTATAAATGGCAGGATATTTATATATTCTAACCAACAAAACAGCACTAAGACAATGGCTGTAAATCCTTACTTCGTGTTTCCCGCAGAGCCATAGGTTTTTGTCACCTGAGTAAGGATTTGGAACTAGTCTCTTAGTGCCGTTTCGTTGTTAGTGTTACTATTCTGTCTTAGACTATTTGCTAAAGGTATTGAGCACTTTGGTTAACTGCCAGGGGTAAATGTCTGTCTTTTTATGTTTCCTTTCATTTGTCGATCATATATATATATATATATATATATATATATATATATATATATATATATAAAAAAATAATCGTGTATATATATATATATATATATATATATATATGTATAAATATAAAAGTGAACATTGAAGTCAACACTTAGAGGCGACAGTCTGTTTCATGCTAGACGCAATCGTCAGGCCACATTTACACATGCTCTATCTCTGATATTGAGCACTTTATCCCATGAATATAGCACACCTTAAGATTATACATTGTCATCCACAGACAGACAATGTGGTTAGACGTCCAATTTCTTCAACTGTGACTTGGTATTGGTCGCGGCACCAAATGTGACGTTCTAACCCTTTGCTGATTCGGATGGGAATCTGGTTAGATTCGGTATCAGCCTTGTCGTTCCCAGCTCGCCTCCAACGTCTGGTTACCGAAGTAACTGCTTTGATTTCTAGTCTAACCTACCCACGTTGTGATTTGATCTTAGGTAGACGAAATCAATCAGTCGCCGGGCCGCAATGCAAGCCGAGTCTGAGCAAAGGTAACACCGCACAAGTATATGTAAAAGAAAATAAAGTATCAACTCGAAAAGTTCAAATGTGTTAAAAAAAGAATAACAATATTTTATATCTGGTTGCTGAATACAGGACTGCGTGTTTCTCCCAACCCGCTTATATGAATTCGTGACACTTTTTGTATGTTAGGTGAGTCTTAACATCTTAAGTTGTTTTTTTAAGAAACTGGTTTTGGTGTATCTTCAGGCGATATTCGTAAAACTTGTTTTGGTGCTGTGAGTCTAAGTCGTTATTCAAAAATAAATTGTTCTTGGTTAGAAGTTCAGGTCGTGATGCGTGGATTTTCAGTCAGCTTTCTGCGAGGCGGGTCTCAGAGCTCACAGTTCAATTCTGCGTCTCTCTCTCCAACTGCAACTCCAACTCCAACTGAAACTCCAACTCAACTACTTGCCTGTCTTACTCCCGTCCACTCGATGCGACTCTGCTTATATGGAGGCCGACCAAAACCGGGATGGGCTTGTCGGGGTTTGAGGTTACTTGATAATTCTAAATCCACAATAAGGATTTTCGTTGTTTTCGGACAGAAAAATTTATTACTTTCCATTTTTGGAAGTCCATTACTTTCTACTTTAAGGGAATCGTCCTCCCAAATGCTTCCTTTCTCATATTGGTATCTCATACCAATCCCCTCAGAGGGCGTCAACAGGTTTTCCTTCCTTTCTCATAGTTTACCTTCTCCTACCGCTCACGCCACCATTCAGCCAATGAACGCCCAGCAGCGTGGGTGTGGCCGGACTGGCCTCAATTTAAAATTATCTCCCAAAGGAAAAAATTATCTTCTTTTTTTTCTTTTCTTTCTTTTCTTTCTTTTCCGCGAACAGACCCCTACGAACCGTAGTGTGGTCCTTAATCTCTATCTCAACCGAATGTCATCTGGAATTTATCAACGAGATTTTCGCCAAGCGTCAAATGGGTGGTCAACTGGACGTCTTCGCACCCTGTCGCCAGCGATCTGTCCCGGCAACAAACTTTTATCATGTCCAGGTCTTGATATAAAACAGTTTTTTTTCAAACCAATGTTATCTCCGAAGGATAGTTAATGGTTCATTCTTTTCCTGTTCTCTCTTGGTGGTCTCACAATTGGTTTTCTCGACCAGCGCGTGACCTGATTTTCATTTATCTCCCAGCTTCTGTTTCGTAGGCCACTTGACCAATTTGAAATTTTCATGGACAGATTGCTATCTTCTTTCGCCGCTCTGTAACATAAATTAATTCGACAGATCCGCTATCTTACGAATCTCCTATCTTCTGCGTGAGAAAAAGGATACTTTTTCTTTACGCAAATGAAAATAAAATCTTCACCATTTTTCTTTATTAAAAAAAAACATCGTTCAGTATGTCTTTTTGTGATAGCTTCTTATCGCCTTAATTATTCCTCGCTTTTCATTTTCACGCGACCGCTAAATAGTGTCATATATATATATATATATATATATATATATATATATAAACAAACTGAAATAGATAGATATGAACTGCCTGAGATAGATATGAACTGCCTGAGATAGATAGATAGATAGATATGAACAATCTGAAATACATACATAGATAGATAGATATGAACAATCTGAGATAGGTAGATAGTGTATGTTTATGTGCGTATGTATGTGTGTGTGCTTTTCAGAATCTCTATTGATTAGAGAATGGATTACCCTTTACGAAATACTAATTTATAAGGTAATCTCGTCAACGGCATTTAAATCAACCATCTATGCTATCAGTAACTTCGGCAGCAACAACAATAATAAATTACCCAATCCAGGTTAGAGATCTCATCATCGTAAACGAGAAGGAAATTTACCGGATGTATGATGTCGCTTTATCATCGAACCAATAATTAAAAAAAAAAAAAGAAAATGAAAAGTTCAAAAATAGTTGAAATTTTCTACAAACCTGAGATAAATTGACAAGTATGATATGACACTGTAGTTGATAATATATTGACCTTACAAAGAGACTTAAAATCTGATTTGACTAAGAGAAAATATGTTTCGGTTTGGTTTTACTGTTATTTTATTGCCTCCACATATCTGGGTTGAAGGCCGGACAGACATTCATTGAAACGTAGAAGTAGATCCAGAGGAGACCATCGCTTTCCAAAGTCAATGTCCTTCAAATTGAAGGTTCGTCTTGGTTACGAACACATTTTCCTGTTGATTCTATTCGGGATGATCCACCCGCGCTCTGACCGTTGACTTCAGTCTCGGAAACCCAGCAAAATCGTTTAATCACTGCGCTGGCTGCATCCACCGCTATTGAAACCAGCCTTTCCCATTGTGTAAATGACCGTCGACCCTACAAAAAGGTCCATTTGCCCTTTAACTAATGCCTCTATTTTATATTATTACAAAGTTTTCCTCGACCAACCTATTGCTTTTTATCAAAATACTCTCGATCTAAGTTCGTCATCATTATTATCATTTCTACCTGAATTTCTAAAATGCGAAATTCCAATGCCAATTAACTGTTATCAATAAAAGATAGGCAGATTTTAAACTCCTGCATCGATCTTCAGGATTAAAGAGTTGTTTGATCACTTTAGTGGCATCGTTAGTTGGTTGATTAACCTCTAGGGGTTATTCAAAGCCGAAATCTAAATATTTTGAACACAACCTTATGGTTTCAGTTAATTATATTTTGAATATAATTGTATGCTGTCATCTACAGATAAAATGCATTGTTAGTCATTTTGTTTTAAAATTGTATTGTTGGTAATTTTACTATAAATAGGTATTGT